ATGATGTCTTCGCTAAGCAGCTGCGCGGAAAAGTATGTTTTTGACCCCGGCATGAGCTTTTCAGATGGTTCTCTTGTTACAGAAACGTGTATGTAGAAGAGGCAAAGGAGCCCGAAGATTGTGCAAGGTAAGATCCTGTGTGAGAAGTTAGAGTTTATGAAAAACTGAGATGCAAAGTCAAAATAATTGTTGAAACTAAAGGTTATGCCATGTGACACCATACAGCCACTCATAGGTTTGCAATGGATACGAGCGAATGAGAAACGATGTACCACATTGAAATGAAGGCTGCAAAAGCAAAATCGCCTCTAGTCTGGAAATAGGAGAGTAGCTGAAGAAAACATATCCAGAAGTTTCCGAAGAAGGATTGGGACGTTGCACTGAAGAATAAGTTTACCTGCAACTCTTCCAGGGTGTATGACCAGTGTTCTGCAACAGTCGAGTTCACACTCTGCCTTAGAAGCCGTGAACGCGGAAATAAATAGACTTGCTCAAACGGATATCATCACACCAGTGAGCATAGCGTGGGCTGCACGATTGTTTGTGTCAAAAAGCAGAGTGGAATAATGAAAGTATGTGCTGACTTTTTAACGGGCTATAGCAGAGCCTTGCAATCTTTTGTCTACCCATCACCGGTGCCAGAAGACATTTTCGCTTGCCTGAACAGAGGAACAATATTTTTACAGATTGACGCTCATGCTTTGAAGTCGCTATCGAGCGAAAGAACTACTAGCAAATCGAGAAAGAAGCTCTTAAAGTGGGATTTGCGGTGGGAGCTGCACATGTATGTCTTCAGAAGAGAGGTTCTTCTGTTGACAGGTCATAAACCACTTGTAGCAAGCAATTTTTGGAGGCAGTAAGTGACTTCCAATCTACTCCGCAAATTGACTTTTGAGATGGGCGGCAATACTGCTAGGATATGACTTTGACATTTAATATCTCAATACTACACACTTCCAATGTGGATGTGGATGGTTCATCGAGATTGATGGAAAAGCACACAGTATCAAACAAGGATATGGTACTGGGTTGGCTCATGAGTAATGGCGTCTTTTTCTTACACAATTTTTATATGGAAAGCGAGAATCGTTTCCAGTGTATTTTATGCTATTCGATAGATAAAGACCTACTCTATAAGATAATATGACTTCAACAACAACTTTTCGCACTTTATCCCGGCACTCAATTAACAGAAAAAGCTCGAAGCTTGTGGTATATATCACCAAAGAAAGGCGATTCTTACGGCACCCTGAAGTTGGTTCAAGCGATTAGGAGCTGGGAATTTGGACCTTGTAAATATGCACCGCATGGGGACCTGTTTAGGAGCAACCGCCTGCAGAACTCCCCCCTAACTTTCGAACGTCTAACGTCAACTGAGGATAATGCTTGATAATGATGAGGAAGCATTCCATGACCTCTAACGATTCCTCAATCTTTGGCATGAATCTCGTGAATAAGGTAATTCAGTAAGCTCTCAGTTGGACTCAATAGGGCATTAGGTTCGATGCTTGTCTGTGAGATCAAAACTCACGTCTTTAAATCGCTCAAACCGTTGTAAATATTCCTGAGAAAATTAGAAGTGAAATTCGGGGCTTTGATCTCGTCGATCTGACACTCCAGTCTGAGCACTCAAATATTAGTTGGAAGAGAAACTTCAAAAAATAAAAGGACTGTCGCAAATTTAAGGAACTCCCTGCAAGCCAAT